CTCTCCCATTCCTGTACTTCATTTGCTTAATTTCCAGTTCCCACACTTCCCGAAGGTAATAATTATAACCGGGAGGTTGTGTGTTCTTCTAGAGTGTCTCTACTTGCCGATCCTTTTTATTTTTTACAGGTCTTACTTGTTCTTGGTCTCCCAATCTATATACATGGTCACGTTCACTTGACTTTCTAAAGTATCTTACTATGAAGTGACATTTAACAATGTGCGTGTTGAATCTGGGTACTTTTTGCTTGGCTTTGCATCCATCTTTCCACTTATGTTTTGAAGAGAAATTTCATATTTTCTTTGCTCTAATTCTGGTTGCCAGGATGGCTGAGTGCCATTCCTGGAAGGGGTGTGTGTTAGAGTTGGCACAGACGGAACAACTGGCACAGGAAAAGGAAACCATTTCTGTGTCAAGGAGATTTATCTATTCATTATTTTAAAAATTATTATTGTTCCCATGATTGACCATTTGTTGTGTATGACCTATGTCCTGGGTACCATTCTAAACAAAGAACAAGGCATGTTCCTGTGCAGTGCCCAAGGAGCTCCCAACTGGATATGTTGCAACGATATCTATGGTAAGATTATGCTTTTGGTAGCCAGATCTTAAGCGATAAATAGAAAATCGTGTAGTACAATTGTTTTTAAACTGTGCTCTGAGGAAGACTGTAGGTGCTTTGGAGGTGAGCCTGAGGCCAGTTAGTGAAGGAGAGGAGAAGGGACATAGCCTTATTACTTTGTTCTCTTTTATGTATCGTAAGATTTTGATTGAAGAAATACTTCCACAGTTTAAAAAAAGTTTGAGGTCCACTTCTGTAGAAGAATAAATGCTTAACTGGAGTCAAGAAATTTGTGTTCTCTGATCTGGCTGTGCCTCATTTTGGATTACAATAAACTGTTGCATACTCTCGTTTTTCTTGATATACAGTGACAATGACTTAGTGGTACAGAGTTCTGCTAGAATCCCTGTTTCACCGCTTCCTTGCTGTATGACTTTGGTAAAGTCACTTAATCTTTCTGAGCATCAGTTTCCTCATTTTTACAAAGCCAGTAGATATGCTGGACCCTTGTTGTTTGCTGTGAAGATTAAAGATAAGATACACAAAGTGCATAGCACAAAGTTTGCCACGTAATGAACACTCAATTAATGAAAACGTTAAACACGAACTATGGAATGTGTGGTTTTTTGAAAGCAACTCAATGCCATAGCAATAAAGGGGAAAGGTAGGGGATGCAACAATCTGATGAGAACAAGTTGCATCTCAGTTTGCAAAACTGAAAGGATTTTGAAAAAGTTATAATATAAACGTATGCTGTTTAATTGAATTATACTTTTCATGCAATGGAGAAAATCACTACTTAAAGGGATTCTGTAGGGAATTTTTTGTAAAGTCAGGAATCTCTTGGCTCTTGGCAAGTGAATGATGCTCCATTTTATGCTGTATAGGTTTTAGTTTTTGAGTTTTATGTTTTCTTTAAAGGAGGTACATGTGTCAAATAAGAGAGGGTACAGTACCATTGGATTTATAAACTACCTGAAAGGTATAACAGTAAGGGATGCGAATATCAGGGTAAAGGAAAGGAGAAGCAAAGGATGGAAACAGATTTTATTTATAAATAATATAAAATAGTGATTTCCCAGTTTTACAGAAGCAGAGGAAGAGAACACAGCAATAGAAAGTGATCTGGCAATAATTTAGAGATGAGAGAATGGGGAAAGATGATTTAAGCTTACTGAAGAGTTTTTACTGAGAGATTGATGACTGAAATTGGAATAAAGAATTTTATGACAAATATGTAATGTTCTTTTCAATACTTTTGTTTGACTTTACTATTGGTTACAAGTTGGGGAAAGAAAGCTATTTCAGAGTTAACATGGCTAAAAACATCAACACTTTCTTAAAATTGTTGCTTTATATTTGGAAGCTAGTCAATTTCATTTCGGTAGCATCTGGTTGAAGTTTATGTATTAAAGGATGACCGTGAAAACAGTGTTTCACATGTCACTGGCATTCAATAAATGATTGCTGAATTCCAGTAAATTACATTTAGATACATCCTAATAATTCTAACACTCCTCCAAAAACCACTGCCATCCAGTGGATTCTGCCTCATAGTGACCCTGTAGGACAGGGTAGAACTGCCCCATAGGCTTTCCAAGGCTTTAAATCTTTATGGGAGCGGACTGCCACATCTTACTCCCATGGAGCGGCTGGTGGGTTTCAACCACCAGCCTTTCAGTGAGCAGCCACACTCTTCAACCACTGCACCACCGGGACTCCTCTAACACTCCTAAAACCAAAAAACCAAACTCCTTGCTATCGAGTCAATTCCAACTTATAGTGACCTGTCATAGTTATCTTATCTAGTGCTGCTATAACAAAAATACCACTGTAGAGGTCTTCAACAAAGAGAAATTTATTCTCTCACAGTCAGGTAGGCTAGAAGGCCAAATTCAGGGAGCCAGCTCCAGGAGGAGACTTTCTCTCTTTGTCGGCTCTGGAGGAAGATCCTTGTTATCAATCTTCTCCGGACTAGGAGCTTCTTAGCGCAGGGACCCCAGCTCCAAAGAACATGCTTTTTTCCTGGCAATACTTTCTGGATGGCATGAGGTATCTTCTGTCTCTCTGTTTGCTTCTCTCTTTTATATCTCAAAAGAGATTGACTTAAGACAAAATCTAATCTCGTAGATTGAGTCCTGCCTCATTAACATACCTGCCGCTAGTCCTGTCTCATCAACATCATGACTTGTGCTAGCCTTCTAAAGGAATTGTGAGTCTTTTAATTATTTTAACATTTTGAGTCCGTTTAACACCAACCAAAAATTCTATTCCAGTTAGTTTTACTAGAACCAAATAGAGAACTACTGGTCAAAAATGAAAATCTTTGGGTTTGGCATTTTTTAGCAGTGGACCTTTAACAATATTTTTCTATGTTTTCTACAGCCATTTGGACTTTCTGTCTTTTCTGTGAAATTTAGTAATTTATATTTAAGAAAATTATTGTTAAGACAGGGGGGACTTGAGTATATTTTAGGCTCAGGGGAAGGGACTAGTGGACGAGAATGAATTTATAATACCAAAAGGAAAGGAATCATGTAACTAGGGTAAAATTATTCCAGGTAGAGGAGTGTTGGAATAAAGAATCAGAAGGATCAGAAAGAAGCAGAGACAGCTATCTCTTTGAAACTTGAGTGAAGGAGGCAAAAATGCCCAAATATAGAACTAAATTTAGAGATGGAGGGAAATTGGTATTTAAAAAGGAAGAGGGTGGTAGCAAACATTCACTCATTTATTCTGTGCTGGGAATTGTGCAAAGTTTTATGTAGAAATAATTATGCTTAATCCTCATAACAAACCTTTGAAACAGGTTTAATTCCCTGCATTCCATAGCTTAGGACCCAGGTAGATATGCCCAAAGTGTTACTTCTGGAAACTATGAAATTTTTTTTAGTATTTAGTCAATTTGACTAAAAGCTTTGAGTCAAGTTTTTTTATTTTTGTTTCTTGTGATTAGACAAATGAGCCTTGGTGGCACACTGGCTAAAGCACTTGGCTGCTAACCAGAAGGTCAGTGGTTTGAATCTACCAGCCACTCCACAGGAGAAAGATGTGGCAGTCTGCTCCCATAAAGATTATAGCCTTGGAAACCGTGTGGGGCAGTTCTACTCTGCCCTGTAGGGTCCCTATGATTCAGAATTGATTCAACAGCAAGGGGTTTTGATTGGGCAGAACATATCTACTACTAGGCATATAGATGGCATCCCTGGGTGGCACAAATGGTTAGGTTCTGGACTACTAAATGAAAGATAGGCAGTTCAAACCCACCCAGTGGTGACTTTCAGAAAAAGCCTGGTGATCTGCTTCTGAAATCCTTAAAAGGTTTTTAGCCTTAAAAACCCTGCTGAGTGCAGTTCTACTCTGCAACACATGGGGTTGCCATGAATTGGAATCGGCTCAATAACAACTAACAATGACAACAACAACAGGTATATATATAGACCTGTATATGTGCATAGTTGTATGTAAATGCACATCTACGCATAGACCTTATGTGTAGCTTACTATACAAATATGTAAGATTAGGTGTATATTTTTATATTCACATGAGAAAATTGTGTATCTAGGGATTTAATCTAGAAAGAACACTCTAGATGATGATGATATCAATAATAACAATAGCTTCATTCATTGAGTAACTGTGTACTCATTGGGCAGTTTGCATTGATTATATTTGCAATCTGACAACAATCATAAAAGGTAGAACTGGTATCACCGTTGTATAGATAAGTTTATTGAAGCTTGGAGAATTTTTTAAACTTGCCTTGGGTCACATTGCTGGTATATTTCTGAGCAGGCATTCCAACCTAATTTTCTAGTACTGTACCTCTCTACCTCTGTATACCAGACATTGCCTCTAGGGTGATATTCACTTATTAGCTATTAAAATTTAT